GCAAATCGATGTACGCCTTGTCGTGATCTGACTGTTCGGTGATCTCTTCGAAGACAATCGGATACAGAAGAATGATTTCGAGGACAGCGTTGAATACGTTTAGCAATATTAGAGCCCAAGCCGTGAACACGAGTTTGCGTTTGTGTTTGTAGTCTAAAACGATGCCGTGTTTTAAGACAACACTTTTCAATAGTTTGTAAAAGTGTTGAAATTCATGTCTCGCGTATATGAGACCCAAATCATTATCAACCGTATGATAGGCTTCGATACCGATGAGGATTATCTCCACAATACACGCCGATTGGGATCTATTAATTCTGGAGCTCTTATATCGCATAGCATTCCCTTTATCACAGATCAGAATACAGGGAATTAAAGAAGCTGTGAATTTAAGCAATTTATTAGTTTTTCATTTTAATTATTATATACTTTTATCATAATCTTTACCGATAAAGATAACAATGAAGCAAAGACTGTACGCAATACCGATAAAACTTCTGAATTTATTAAACGATGGTTTCATACCATAATAGGGTAGACCAACGATCTGATGGAAAATACATATCACATTAAAACCATCGATATGTGTGTCTGTTGGTCTGATCGGATTGGATATTATTCCCCTATTATTATAATTGTGATTAAAAGGTGTTTGCCGTACAGTAAACAACTCTTCCAAGTTGTTTGATTGAACCATTTTCTCAATTAAAACTCTTAAACAAAGTGCCGCTTATATTGTATGTTTCGCTCAAATATTGAATATTTAATTGATTATTATATTTTTGCTTTTATTGTTTAATAATGTCTAATTAATTCAACACCACTTCTACTGTAATGCTGAAAAAACAACATTTTATATTATACATTTAAATACATTGGAACTTTGTAGAATTTAATAGTATATAAGTGTAAATTAAGTAAAACAGCAGAATAAAAAACAAGTTATATTATAATATTAAACATTGCGTTCATATGCTCTGTCAATATAAGTTATGTTAACTAACTTTAGTCAATAAACGCTTTAATGTAAACCATTATTTCATTTCTATTAATACTTTTATTTTAAGAAATCAATGTCTAAACGCATTATGTATTGATTTGTGTTAGAAAAGTACTTTTAACAACAATTCACGCCAGACTAGTGTTGTGAGTTCTGTCATATGACGTCATATAACACTTTACATTACAGTTATATGACATGTAAAGTGTAATATAAAAATTTTATATTACAAAAAGTGTAATATAGCTCTGGCGCCACCTATTGACTGAGCAATTAAGATATTGTAATTAACGCTATTATTTAAAAAGTTAATTTAAACACAATAAAATAGCCATAGAAAGTGTGTTTCAATAATCTATTGGCAATACAAGTGATGAATGTATTGTAAAGGATAAAGTTTAATGTTAATGGGTACTGGGCCAAAAATTTTATTTTAAAAAATTTTAATTTTTTTTAATTTGCGAAATTAATTATCATTGTAAGCATAATTAAAATTGATATAAATGATGTTCAGTAATTACGTTATTCACTATAAAAAACGTACATTACTGATACTAAATTTCTTAATTATGATATAACTTTTATAGATTATGTCAGATTTGAAAGATCTCTTCGGAATTCGATTCTACTCATCCATACCTTTCTATTGATATATAATATGACATGGTTATTTATAAAATAAAAGATTTGATTTTCAAAATTTTACTGATAAAAGTGGTCACTACGGCCAGACCCGAAAGTATCTGGACATATAAAGTATATCACTTGGCTACCTATTGAGTGTACTTTCATTTTATAACAATAATTCCAAAGTGCCCGCGGTGCCACAGATGGGCATCATCTTTTATACTACGGCCAGACCCGAAAGTATCTGGACATATAAAGTATATCACTTGGCTACCTATTGAGTGTACTTTCATTTTATAACAATAATTCCAAAGTGCCCGCGGTGCCACAGATGGGCATCATCTTTTATGTGAACACACAGTACACAAATAAATGCATAAAATATTGTACAAACCCTGACAATATGGGAAAGGGCTGAGAGTTGGAACAAATGCAAGCCGTGGTCTATCCGTTCTGAGAGCCAATTGCATAAGAGATTCATTTGTGATGAATACTACTACGGCCAGACCCGAAAGTATCTGGACATATAAAGTATATCACTTGGCTACCTATTGAGTGTACTTTCATTTTATAACAATAATTCCAAAGTGCCCGCGGTGCCACAGATGGGCATCATCTTTTAGTTATGATTTCTAAATTAGCATTATTTAAGCAAAATGTGTACTTTCTATATTACACTATGTGACGTTATATGACGTCATATGACTGTAATATGTAATATAAAAATCTATATTACATGTAATTTACAACACTACGCCAGACTTGCAAATGTTTTTGCATTTTTTATATTACTGCAGCCACATTTATTCATTGGGTCATTTATTTATTGGCTCTGTATTAACTTTACTGTACGTAATGTATGGCAGAGGCGGCAGCCAATAAATAATTGACCCAATGAATAAATGTGGCTGCAGTTATATCAAAGTTCAGGCAATTTTATTATTTGTAAAGTTATATTTTATTGTATTTTTATGTCGAATAACTGTTATTTAAAAAGTATTCAAATGACTTGTTTTCACATCTTTCTTGTATTTCTCACAAAATATATAACAGAAAATATATTCACTAAAATCTTAAATAATATTAATTTATTTTGGTTATAATAAAATAGAAATAACTATGATAAAGGTATTAATACACATTTACTACTGTACTGTACTAAATCTGTAGATTTACCACTCGTGGCAATAATTAAGAAAATCTTTAGAAACGGAAAATGATTTATTAAGACATATAAAAGTAATTCTTTTAATGATTAAATATATTTTAATGTTTTTGAGATTACATACAAAATCTAATTAATAGTTATTTTACTAATTATTTGCAAATGAATATGAATTTGTTGACCTATTTATTTGTGATATTCCTTTAAGACTTTTTTGAATAACTTTGTTAATAAAAAATAATAAATTTCATTACATTTAATAGATATTTGTTTGACAGGAATATACAGAATATTTTATACATGTCTAATGTATTGATAATTCTATTGATTTCAATTCACAAATTAATGAAAGGTTTTATGACACACATTAAGGGACTATAAATAGAGGACTTCTTCTTTACATTTGTTTACAATTAGGCAAAAAGATATGAATCTTTCAAATAAAAATGATTTTTCAAATAAAAAATTTTACGAACAAAATTATTTTAACACAAAGACACCCGTTATTGGGTTTGATTCCGATATAAATGTTATTCAAATTAAAAATAGTAAATCATGTGAAATATTTTCGGTGATTACATATTTTCACGCATTCACTGGTTTGGCCTATTATGGGA